CTGGAGGCTGAGACAACGGGCAAACCACGATTCTTCAGAAAGGAGGAAAGCAACTCGGGGTACCCCATCAGCAGCCACAGCAGGTGAGTACAGCACACCACAGATGCTGGGAAACACGTGCTGATTTCCCAGGGACACCGATAAACACAAAGCCCGGAGGGGACTGTAGAAGAGAGGCTCACGTTAAGGGATGAGAGGAGCCCTGGATTCCCGGGATCCTGTCTGAGGTCAGAGACAGTGCTGAGCAGATGGGTTACCTCAAACAGGGGCCAGTCCTTCCCCAGGCGCAGACCTGCGAAGTGCTGAATGCCAAAGTATTAATGTTATAAGCTTGCAAGGATGACACAGCATCTCAAAACATGTCTCATCCTCAAAAAACAATCGCTAGGTCCAGAATATTTTTAAAATGCGTTATCTTTGGAGGAAGGTCACACGTACTCGGCGAAAGCTGTCTGGAGGAAACGAGGACTGGAGTTATTTACAGCAGGTAAAGTAAGCTATGCACACTGATATACACGTAAGATTTAATAACAAGAGGAATTCTCTCATCTTACGTAAGGGTCAGAAGGGCAACAGCCTCTCGGAATCTCATGGCATATGGAACCACAGTAATGAATGGTATTAAGATGATAAATGGACTGACCTTTGGCTAATAACATACTGGTCTTTCTGACAAATGCATTTAGATCTTGGAATACAAGCTTTTATGAGATAGGGAGTTAACATTAAAGTGTGTGTTGTTTCTGGGGTGAGGAGAAGGCGTACAGGGAGGCAGGTTCCCTAAACACACAAGGAAAGGAAGCAAGTGTTACAGGAAAGGGTAGCTGTTGAGACACAAATATGCAGGGCATTTAAAAGACGAAGAGTTAGAGACCCATTAGTAAGATCCCTCTGATGTATAAAACAGGATGGTCTTATCCTTTGTGTCTGAGAGGCTTCAAAGTTCTTGCAGAGACAGAAATATTGCACATGCCTTTGGTGTGATGTGCAGAGTCAGAGAAGACACCCAGGGCAGAGCCTTCCATCCCGCATTTCTGTGGGAAGAAAGAAATCCCTAGAGATGCACAGAGTTTCCCACTCCATAAACAGTTTGGGCTTCATGAAACTCTTTCAGTGCTCGCCTCTGGTTGCTTTCTGCTTATCTTGGGACTGGAGACTGCAGCTTCCCCAGATCAAACTGCAGCTCTCCCAGTCCTACGGGAGACTCTCAAGGTCGAGTTTATGCCGAGATCTCTCACCCTTGGAAGCAGGACAGACTTTTAAATACGCGTACAGATTTTACGAAAAAGCTATGCTACAAAACTGTTGTCTAGAAAAGAGGCACAAAGAATAATTTCACTAAATATTTTGCCTGGTTTATGCACTGGAATAGAAACAGGTCACAGTAGGAAGGTCGGTCACTGGTTCCGAGCTCAGATATAAAAATGAGATGTTTTAATGTGGATAGCAAGAGAGACAAAAAGCCAGTGATGCAAAAACCACCTTGTGCACATGGAAGAGCTGAGACCTAACCGCTCTGCAGCCAAAGCAGCAGGGGCTCCCAACCTGAACATGTGCCAACACTGCGCGAGAGCTTCCCCATGAAAATACGGATACTGATGGCCTAAAACTTAATAGAGAAAAGCAATCCCGTTCAGATCTGCTGGGCTTCAAGCAAGTCAAAGGTACATTAAGTCCTTCGCTGTAATGTAAGATTAACTTATTTATGGAAGAATTTAAGTGCTACTTAAAGTACTGAAACCACTGTCTCTGCAGATAATATTTCAGAAGCTAGCAGGAAGAAACACTTAAGAGACTTGTTGCTCTCTTCCCCCCACCCTCTAATTTAAAAAAACCCAAAACATTAATGAAAAAGCAAAGCAGGCCACTCGCATCAGTTTTCACAGCTTTATACACCAGCCTGGAGAACTTGAAGAGGAATTACAGAGCAACACAGGCACATGCACAATGATTTACTGCATGTCTCGCCTGCCTGGTAGCGCAGAGAAGCAAACGAGATGCTGGGTTATATACTGCACAATTTTAATCTCCCATCCAGTAAACATAGTAAATATGAGCACAGCCTGTCCCGGTTTAATGGAAGGATCCTTTGCTACCCGGGCACGATGCTGCTTCCATCAAATCTGATGGAAATTTTTGTTGAGACTTCAAAGGAGGAGGATGGACTGTTTGCTCTGTGATTCCTTTCATGATGCAAAATACTCCACGGCAAAACTCCCTGAAAAGCGACTGCAGCACTAGAGCTCGAGTCCGAACTTCCCAGCCCCACGGCCCGGAGGCACTGCTTCCACAGAAGGGTTCCCAGAGCGACTGCGGGGGCCAGCTCCTCCATCCCTCAGGTGGAAGGTCCTTGTGGAAGACTAATGAAGTGGAGGACAGTGCAATCTAGGAAAATTATCTGATTGCTCTTAAAAGAGCAACTTTGTAACAACTGGTTTGGAGTTTAATGGGGATCTTCACTCATGAGCTTGGAGTTAAATGAGTGATCAACTTCAAGGACATGCTTAAGGCTCTCTAAAACCCTTGAGGAATAACTGTGACATCTCCTTTTCACACTGTTGGAAAACTGCTTGTTAAGGGACCAGGCCGGCTGGCATCTCCAGCATGAACACCACCATACTGTACTCAATGCGTCTTGGAAATGAACCTTTTGCTTTTAAGAATCGCTCCTCTCCCCAGGAACTACTTTAAATCACTCTGTTCTACATTTCAGACAAAGATTTCTAAGAAATACCTCTGCACTGCTGTTTTACACCAATATCTCAGCTTGTTTCCCTAAGGGGGTTCAACGTACAGAACTTGCTTCTCCTGTGGCCTCCGTATGCGTTTCAGAGGAAAAAGAAAGAGACAGACGTGGAGCACGTTCTTAGTCTCTGAAAAGAACAGACGTGCCCCGCTGCGCCACCCCCAGCGTCTGTCTCAAAGACAAAACCTCCACTTTTAAATCGAACTGAAGAAAAAGGACATCTGATGTCATGGTCTAGGAGCGGCTCCCATTGAAGTCGGCAAGAATCCCTCCATCAATTCTCAGGAAGAGCTGAAGCAGATCACTACCAAAGACTAAGAAACAGAAGATAAACTCCACATTCCACCCGAAGAGGTTCCGTTATATTTTTTTTTTTTCCAAATGCGAGCTAAGACCTGTATTTCGATCAGAGAGCACAGTTAACTTTTCCCCTTGTACTACTTGCACACACGATGCCGTGAAGTCACGTGCTGGTCACGCACTTCTCCGGCTCACCTGGATCTCGGGCTACACGCAGTGTTTCCAGCTCACTCCTCCGCTCCGGGTAAGCGGAGGGAGATCAGAGACCTGACACCACCTATTGCTCCTGATCTAAGAGGAGACCTTACTGTCCTGTGTATCAATGTGCTAGAAAATTAGAGCAGGGCTGGAGCAGGGCTGGATGGCAACTTGGAGGTGTAGTTTATCGAGTAGTTTCCTGAGCCAGTGAATTTCCCCTTGCATGAAACCCTTGTGGCATATCTAGTCCTGTGACATTAAGATAAGGCCAAAATCACTGTCAAGTGAGCAAATTAGAACCCAGAAATCTGCATTAATGAAATAAAAATAAATATTTTAACTTCTGAGTGTGAACGTCAGATTTAGCCCTCTGGCCAAGTCCTCCCCGTCTCGCAGGAGGCCCCCACAGACACTCCCCCAATTAATGATTCATCCTCCGTTAACTCAGGTGGGGTCCTCCCTCCTTAGTCAGCTCATTCTCCTGTACGCTCTACCGCCTGCTAACCAGGTCTGCCCAGTGAACACTCCGCGTCCACCAGCCAGCTCTTCGCTCACCAGAGCTGAACCAAAGTTGGGAGAGAAGTCGTAACAAAAATAATTACAACAGTATTCAAAGCAGCTACAGCATCGGGAAAAGACATAAAAACAAAGAAAAATGTTTACTCGTTTATACTAACATTTAGCTTAAACACACACAGATGATGCATGCTTTGTATTTCTGTCAGAAAAAGGAATCTGACTGTTAACACTGGAAATTGCACACCGTACGCTGCTCTAACAGTCAAACCCAAGTGCTTAAGTCCTTAGAGGAGCACAGTTGGAGAAATGGGGGAGCTGTGCTTTTGCTTTGGTTTTTCTGGGGTTTTTTTTGAGGGTGGTCGTTTTTTTTTTTTTTTTTAATTCATTTAGGTTTTAAGCCAAAGCAGGTTTTTCTGGCATCGCTTCATCCTGCCACAGAAAGCAGAGTTGTACTGCAAACTCAGTAATAAATGCGTGTTCTGCTCGATGAGCAAAATTAAATCTTATTTAAAGTGTGGGACAATGAAATAACATTTCAGATTCATTTCCTTTTAAAAATGCTCCTGGTTGGATTTCAAACACAGAGAGAATATGGGTACAGAGGATTTCAGTTACAAAAAATCCAACATTTTAATTAACTGCTTTATTGAAGACAGGGAATTCAACAGAAATTCCCATCAGTATTCAGAAGTCTATTAAAAATAATCTCAGTTTTATGCCCAAACTGATTAGTATCTGTTTCATACTGGTACATAAGGAAAGAAATATTACATCTAGATTTCTAATCTCCACCCCTCCCCAAAATTCAAGGTTATGCCTTTGGTTTGTTTACCTTCTCAAATTTATACTAGACTGTTTCTTCCCAACAAAGCAGCATGAGCCTTTGGTTTGCAGCTGGAACTGGCATGGCCAGTAACCACAGCCCAACTGGGAAGCAGTGGCTGCTTAAGTGCTGCAGCTTGATCACTTCCAGGTAGGCACCCACACACTTAGACTTGGTGCTTCTTTCCATAGGAATAGCCTATCCATGAGCTGCTGTTTCCCCAGGTAGGTCAAACAGGGGTTCTCTAATTTAAGGACAAGAGGAAGCAAGTGATAAACTGAAGTTTGCTATTCCTTTAGAAGCACTTTGCAGGCCCCAGATTTAAAACAACCTAATTGTGCAGCAATACTGCACTCCTGCACACGAAGCCCTGCGTGAGCCTGCACCCACCACGCCGGCCGAAGCGTCACTGACCTGTATCATGTACAGCTGCGCAATCCGATACTCTTCCACGCTCATCGGAAGGGGAATACGGTATTCCTTTATGAGCATTTTGAATACAAAATCTTTTGTCCGTTCAGAATCACAATCCGGAAGCTTTTAGTAAAGGCTCCTTAAATAATGGCAAGCAAATGCATCGAGGATCCCTGAAACAGAGAAAGAAAAAAAAGAGAGAAGCAGTTATTTTCCATTCTTATCAGAGAACATCCGATTAAAAAAAAATAAAACAATACGCAAGCGTTAATTTTTGTAATAGCCATAAGCTTCATAGCAGAGAGAAAACCCCTGGTGTGCTACCAGACCCTTGGTATCATGTTGAACAGAACCCTTTAGAAGAATCTTGATTTGCTTCAGGGGATCCCACCAAAGCTATTACCCTCCTGACCTTTGCCACCGTATCAATCAGACTTTCATATGCAACAGCATCTCCACGGAAGAGACGGACAGAAGCTCAGAAGGAATAGGCAGCCCTTCTGTTGGCAGACAGTGAAGCATCTCTCCGGTGTCACCAGTACACCAGCAACGCATCCACTCAAAGGTATCAGGTTTTAGCCTCTCGCATTCATTCAGCAGCCAAAAAAAGGCTTAATCAGACTTCCTCAGCCCCCAGTAACGCCACAGTGAAGAAAGTCACTTGGATTCTAACAATGAAGGCAGAAGAAATGTATTTTCTTTCCCTGCTTTATTTGGAATTTCTGTCTTGGTAGGATTCCTTCTCTTCCACCTCCCAAGTAGTCTATAGGCAAAATCCTCCTGCCAGTGATATCAGACTCATTTTTACGCTCCTGCTGCATAAGAAAACAGCCAAAGATCAAACTGCAACATAAAAAAGTCCCATCTTACCCCGGTTCAAGGCAATTTAATAAAATTATTGCTTTAGAATACAGGGAATAGAGCATTTACTATGTCAAGGGTTAAGGCAGTAACTCCTCAAATATTCTTAAGACTCCCTGTGGGCTGCTGATAAAGGCAACAAAATCACGTAAGGAAAGGAAAAACGAAGAAGATGCCTGGTGAGGAGGAGAGGACACAAGTGAATCTGTCTGCTATCAGGCAACATTAGCCTCAGCAGGATCCGATGACCACTTTTCCCAGACACCCGCCTGGGGAAAAAACACCAGAACAAAACCAACCAAGTGATCTAGTGGAATAAACTGTGGTCTGGGAACCAGGAAACCACACGGCTGCCTTGGTGCTTCTCGGCGTTTGCACAGCACTTCACCAACCTTTTACAAGGTTTGGAGAGGTTTAAACACGTGCCCGTGGTCACGGAGCAACCAGGGCCGACAGCCTGCGTGGATAACCCACCTCTGTTGGCTTCTCACCCGCGTGGGACTCAAAGGGCACCGCAACATCTCCATCTCACAGCAGACCTGCTGAATTCAGAGAGGGGCACTGCTAGCAACATCCCCACTCAAGGGTTTGCCCGACCCAGGCACGCAGCCCCCACGCCGCCGGGCTGTGAGCTTGCTGTCCTTTGGTTGCCGCATATCTAATCTGGCAGTAAAGCAAATCCATCCCAGACCAACTCTTCTGGAATAACAGCTGTCTGTCTGGTGATGCATCATCTAAACAATTTCTCTCCAAATTCGATTCTCTGTTTCATTTTACTGCTGTCAGAGCAATCTGCGTATGGAGGGGTGGAATAAATACCCAAAATCTTTGCCATGGCAAACCCTTTGGAGAATAATTCTGGGAAGACTGCGCTTCCCAACACCACTGTGCCTAGGCACGCAAGTGTGAACAGCCACGTGCACGCGCAGGATTTCCTCCATCCAACTAATCCTCCAGAACAGGTGGGGATAAACTCATTAGGTGGTTTTTAATTAGCGGCGTGGCAAAGAACAGTAACCACCAGAGCATGGATCTCAAGCACTGGCCTCAGATCTGCACTGGGGCAATGCTAGGATCCCAACTCCTGGAGCTACTGGCAATGGGAGACTCAGCAACGTCTTGAGCAGTTTGTTATACTTTAGAGATCTCTGAAAATTGGATTTAAAAGCTTCTCCCCACCTCATTCTCCAAATGTTCTGAAAGCAGTTCTGCTCCCACCGTAACGACATCAGTCACGTCTGCCTTTGCCGCTTGCTAAAAACAGGATATTTCTATTGATTGGAAGAGATGAATAAAACAAAAAATAGAACCTTAAAAGCAATAAAATGGCAGGAAACCAGTACCGAGATGGAAAAAATGTGTTTGTAATGAAGTGCCAGGCAGGTAATAATTCAGATGGCCAAGACACAAGAGGGCTTGTTTTACTCCAGACAAAAACCCCAACCGTCTGGGCCCCAAGCAGGCACAGCAGCGGCCTCCACGCACCCAGCGTGCAGAGCTCCTGGTCCAGCTTCCTGCTTGGTTTTTACAAGGGCTGAGGTTTCACTGTTCAAGTTCCCTTTCAGGTTTCTACTTCCCTGCACTCAAAGTTTAAAAGCAGCGTTTCGGCTCAGCCTGGAGGTCTCCAGGCAGCAGCAGGTCCTGATGATGTGCTCATTGGAAAGGTGATGCTCCCAAAAACTCCTCCAGCAGCTGCCCGCTCCAGCTACTGCAGCCAGTCCCTGAAAGTTGGGTAGAAAACAACCCTGGAAACACGCTGGGAAGTAGCAAGAGCCACACTGCAACCTCAAAGCAAGCGGGCCAGCGAGAAAAGGCACCTGGGATCAGCAGTCTGACCCTGAAGGAGACAAGAAGACAGCAATCTGACTTGTCTGCCTTTTTTTTTTCTAAAGTTAGACTGCTTAAAAAATAATCAAGATCAGTTCGCAGCTTGGGCTGCCTTTGAGCTGAAAATATCCTGCCCTAAGCCTAACAGCAGTGGAGCCCAGGTGGTAAACCATGAAAGAGAAACACGGGGTTTCACGAGATGCAGATCTCTGCGATCCCGAAGCCAGAGGTGACAACATCGCGCTTTCGGATAACTCGCTGAGGACAGCGGCCTCCTTCCAAAATCTTGGGACTTCATAGAGAATCGAAGCTCACCAAGACTGCTTACTGTATTGTCCAAACACGACACAGAAGTTTGACTGCTGACGTGACGGCTGCTACGGAGAGGAGAGAAATCCCTTCTGCAAACAAGGGAGTCACGCCACAGCTTTGGGAAGCGGGTGTCAAAACACCAGCTGTGCCCCTGGCACCCACCCGCATCCAGCCCATGGCTACCAACAGCCAGAGGTGTCTGAACAGAGATGCTCAACGCTCAGGGACTCGATCCAGCAGCCAGCGTTTTGAGGGCAGGCTGGATTTCGGTTGTCCAGCTGCCAAGCACCAAGCCGGACCTTCTATGTGTTTGCCAAACCCCTGCGGCCACACAACCAGGACCAGCAGCAGCCCAAGGCGGTTCGCAAAGCCCAGCTTGCACCCGGCTTCTCTCAGCAAGAGGCAAACAAGGGTGACGCAGGACATTTCCAGACTGGCAGCTCATGCTGCCATAGCCAAGCGGCACATTTGTCCAGGCCGTTATTCAATTTATACACAGAGCTGTAGTAACCGTGAAAGCCAGGCGCATAATTTTATACCTCAATTATTTTGAAATCAGGTTCTCAAAGCATCATAATTACGCTCCAGAGTCAATATCCTGCTGCGATGAGTCAGGGCTACCTCTGAGCTATTGCTTCAGGCTGTCAGAGGCTAACACAGTGGGCTGCGTTTACTTCTGATTTTAACGGTTTCCCTTACAACAATAACAAACTTCTTAAGGAAGTGCCCTTTCTTTGAAGTGAGGGGAACTGTGGGGATCTGCAGCAGCTGAGCAGATCCAGAGACCCAGCAAAATCTCTCCGTTTAGCCCATGAACTCGGTGTATGGGGTTGTCACCTTGGGAGCATCAGGGACAGCCTCCCTGGTACTAAACGAGGTAGAGGAGGACTGATGACAACTGTCAGCTTGTAATTAAGCAGTAAGAGTTAGTGTGTGATTGAAACTGTGCTATCGGAGTGCTGGAGGCCAAACCCTGGCCTGGCTTGGCAGGCTGGCCCTGAAGGGTATGGAAAGAGAGTATTACGGCAAAAATCCTGGCTCCTTGGCATGTCGGTTGGGTCTGGTGCGGGAGAACCGCTCACGCTGGTGGGTTCAGGCTGTTCCTGCCCTGTTCCCAGCTGTGCTGTTACAGCTCTCCTAGCTGTCACCTCAACAACTCATTTCTGACCAGCTCACGTTTTCCATGTCCAGGCTGCTGAGCACAGGCTTTTTAGGGCTGGAAGGAGCTGCGCCACAGCAGCAGCGACCTACCCCATGCCACAGCTGCTATGTCCCATTTCCTACAGGGAAGAAGCAGCCTGAGATGCAGAGAGCAGCTATAATGACCTAATATATAGCTCATATATAATGAGATTTTTCTAGCCTCACGCAGGAGGTTCCTTTCACACTATTTTAAAGTTAAAGACTCGCCCTAGGAAGGACAAACCCATCACGGAGGGTTGCACGGCGGCAGGTACCAGCCCTGGGACTGCAGTCTCAGATCCTCCTCAACCACTGCCAGTTTAGGGCTCTGCTGCCTTTTGAAGTTATAAAAGTCTCCCCTGCGAAAGATCACGCTCGTGAGCTGAAGATCGATACCCTCGACTCAGCTATTGAGCAATTTTCCTTGCAGTATTTTCACATAACTGAGAAATGAAAGATAATTAACAGAAACAACTGTGAGAAAACCAAGCCAAACACAACTGGAGAGCTCACCTACCTCCCTACAGACTTTCTTTACGTTCTATGCATCTCCTTTATGCCCAAGAAGATGCCTCCCTGAACAAAGTGACATCAAAGATGTGTTAGCACTGGTCCCAAAGGCATCCAACACTTGGACTCTGGGAAGCGACACCAGGCTTAACCCGGCCACTTGCCCTCTCCTGCAGAGACCCCAAAGGAGGACACGGTGCGCTCCCACGACTGGAGGCACTGCACACATACTGCGCTTCGATTTATTTATGCTGTTTCTTCTAACAGCATAAATGTGGAACAGATTCCTAGGGCCTAAGTCAGCAGTTTTTGAAGGCAGCCTCAACACTCACACCTTGATTAATGCGGCAGTCTCCCTCCTGGCCCAAAAGCAGTCTTGCTCAGCTTTATTCTGTCCACAGCATCGCTGC